GGGGGGTGTGGGGGTTTTTGCGTGGGGGAAGCTCGCCCTGCCGCTGGCAAGGTGCTACACGGTAGGCGGGCAAGAAAGGGGTGTGGGAGGGCTGGCGGTGGCGCTAGCTCCTAAATACTTCCTACAGGAGAGGCACAGCTCATTTCTCACAGGGTTCATCCCACAGCAAAGTCTTGGACTCACATTTCTCACATGATGCCCTCAATCCCCTCACGCTTCATCAAAGGCGCTTGGGGGTCCCCAGCCCATTTGCAGAGTCCCTGAGGCGGGCAAGAAAGGGGTGTGGGAGGGCTGGCGGTGGCGCTAGCTCCTAAATACTTCCTACAGGAGAGGCACAGCTCATTTCTCACAGGGTTCATCCCACAGCAAAGTCTTGGACTCACATTTCTCACATGATGCCCTCAATCCCCTCACGCTTCATCAAAGGCGCTTGGGGGTCCCCAGCCCATTTGCAGAGTCCCTGCTCCATCCCACATGGCTCTGTGCTGGGGCTGACCTCACCACTCACCTCCGCTGGAACATCACCACTTTGTCAGCCTTTATGTCGCTCAGGTCCAGCTTCTGGCCCTTCTCTATGACGTCCGGGTGCTTGCGCACCAGCAGCCAGCCAATGTGGGAGAAGAAGAAGCCCCGCATGGCATTGTGAGGGTCTGCATCTGTCTCGGAGAACTTGTGATGGACACGGTGGTCCCGGACCCACTCGTAGATGTCATTCTGCAAGGCAACAGGAGTGGAGACTTAGGGCCAGGGCTGGAGATGTTCCCTTCAAATTAACAAAAGGGGCCAAAACATTTAGACACCTAAATCCCATTGACCTGCACTCCTATCAGTCATTTTATCTTTCTTTAGAGTTTGGGGGGTTTGGCTTTTAAAATAGAGGTTGGGGCTTCTTTGGTCAACCACTGCAATTTTCTTTGAAATCTGCTTCTTTGGTGGGCCACCTTTTCTCTTTTTTTTCATTGGTTACCTTTAGGCTTGGGTTTGCACATCCTCTACAGCATCACAGACTCTGATTGGTCAGCCTGTTCCCCCACCCCTGCAATAGCGAGCCCTCATTGGCCAGTTGGTGCCTCCTCCCTCACATGCTCAGCTCTTGTTGGTCACTTGTCCCCATCCCTACGCGGTGCCAGCTGGGATTGATCAACCTGCCCCTTCCCTCCGCCCTGACATTTTCCATGGGTCAACCTGCCTTGCTTTTCCTGGGATTGCCAAATCAGATCTGTTTAATTTGGGGGGCGAGGTTTTTTAAATTTTTTTTTTTTTTGGAAATCAAATGGTCTTAAAACGAAGGCCCCTCTTTAGAAATAGAATAAACACACCATTTCAATGACAATTGTAAAAAATAGCCCCTTATGAGGGCTGAAGCCCCATAGCCATTCCGTTCAAGCTGCAAAATCAATACAGTCTGCAAAATGTCAAAGCTTTCATCATTTGTATTAAGAAATGATTGTTTTGGCCAGTTTTAAGATTAGATTTTAATGAGACTGTACTTATTCCTTTACGCCAAAATTCTGATGTGCTTAAAGCCATGTATTACACCATCCTAGAAAACATGAAACAGGGATCCATCCATGCCTCTGTTGCCTGTATTACACAAGATGCTCCTTAATCTCATGAGTACATAGGGCTTTTCCTCAAAACACTTTGAAGGTAGGGAAGCAGCGAAGCAGCATCATCATCCCTATTTCTTGCCTGGAAAGACCAAGTGACTTATCCACACAGGGAGCTGTAGCAGAGACGCAGCTCCTCAAGTCCCTCTCAAGTGCTGTAACCACTCCTCCTTCAACTGACATAAAATGATTTACCTGCAGGCCATGCAATAAGGCAATGATAGACACAGGCCAGGATTCACCTCTCACTTGTTTCCAAATCCTGGGAACTGCTTCCTTCCATCCAGCCAAATCCTGAGCACCTCCAAGTATCACTAAGCCCTCACCGATGTTAAGCTGGACCTTGGTCACTCAGCATTCCCTCAGAAGAGGGTGGCCCAGCAGCCTTCCCTATCCACTAAGCAGAGAAGCACAGCCAGTACCTATGCTAGAAATTTTTCACTGGTGACCCAAAGTCTGTCTCACATCCCGGACCCTACACAGCATCATGTAACGTGAGAATCCCAGCCTGAAAGCTGACGGGAGAGCTTGGGTTTACACATCTGGGGAGGTTCTCCCTGCCTCCTGCAAATCCTTCTGCTGGAGGTAGGAGGCAGAAGTTTTGAAAGAGACCATGTACCCCAGCTGGAGCACCTCACCCACCACACCTTGTGCACAAACACAAATCAGGGGTCTCAAAGTTGAAGAGCCATAATCTTGACCCAAACTTTAGCACATACCTTTTCTCTTGATCTTATTTTGGGACCACCTCTAAACTGCAACCTCATCTGAAAATCATGGCTTTCTGAGACCAGCAAGCAAGCCTAGGAAAACGCCTCCTGCCTTGGGAGTTCCCAGCTACAGGCTGTAACCAGGAGAGCTTCTGCTGTGCTGCAAGCTGCCTGGTCTTGCAGGTGGAGGAGCTGACTAGGGGCAGAATTCCCAAATTCCCTGAAATCACAAGCCATAGGTCTCCGAGCAGCCAACAGGCTTTTTCTGGAGGACCTCAGATATGATAGTGGATGGTCTTCTCTGGCCGTAAAAGTTACCAGTCTGATCTTAGAGCTTCTGCCACTAACAGGAATGAGGTAAATCGAAAATAAACCTTCTCTTGATCACATTGAAAGTAACTATTAAAAAAAAATATCCATGGGGAATGGTACTGAATTTTCAGTAAAACTTTGGATTAGTTCCTATTGAAGCTGAAATATCTGTCTGTCTCTCATCTTTGTCTATTCCTATCCCCTACAGCAATAGCTCAGCAAATTCTTTCCCCCTCTGCCCTATAACCCTGTGAAAGATGGTCTTTGTGTGGGACTAACCAACACACAGCAACCCATCCCATTCCCTTGCTGAGTGCTGGACCAGTAGCTGGAATCAGCTGCTTGGTCCTTCCTCTTCCTCATGAAAGAGTCTGGTTTGGTACTAACAGAGAATAGGAAAGTGAATCGTGTTTTAGAAAGGCTGAAAAAACCACCCCCACCCTGTTCTGATTGCCTGTCAATGAAGTGATATCCTCTACGGCTACACAGCGGGGGGGAAAGGCAGATAATGTCTCTGAAAGACCTGGTCCACTTGGGCTTTACCCTTCCCCAAGCCGTCAGCAGGAGAATCACTCAGGGGCACAGCACTGATACTTTTCTGTTTACCTTCTTCGAGCAGAACGTGCTGCACACTGCCACCCTCCCGAGTACTTCCCACACCCGACCAAGCAAGCCTGCATGAAGTCCCTTCAAGTACAGTTGGAGGACGGAGTGCCATTAGAGCTGCCTCACAGCAGCAAATCCGAGAGACCACCAGGATTTTCCTGTGCCATGCCAATACCTGGCTTTTCACTCTAACTTCTTCTAAAGGGCCATTTCTGCTACTTTCTACAGTCCCTAAGGACTTCCCGGTTGGTTTTGCTTCATGGACTGTGAAGTGCTCTTGTAAGGGGTTAGGCAATAACCCGAAGTGCTTATCAGATGTCTGCAGTCATGTGTGCCACTCTGAACGGGCCTAAGTCTTCTCTCCTTGAAACATCACTGACCTGGGATGACTCTGGAAGCCAGTGGTGTGACTTATAACAGGGTTATTCCTAAATATCACTTTCCCAAACCAGAGAAGCATCCCCCTAATTGCATCATTTCAACAAGTTCTTGGTCCTTCTGCAGCAGCAAATTCCACAGCCTGGCTCCCTGGGCTGTGCAGGTGTCTCCCCCCTTATCAGCTGTGCAGCAAGAAGAGGGTGAGGCAACCTGAACACCAGGAGAGCACTTAGCACTTCCACACCTCTTTCGCAGGACCTGAAGCAAGCG